ATGAATTTTATGCGAAGTTGAGTGACATTATAAATTCCAGCTTCAATTTAAGTGAAAAAATACCAGAATCCAAAGTTGTGGGAAAAATTTTGAGATCCTTACCCGATCGGTTCCAACCAAAAGTTACGGCTATTGCAGAGACTCAAGATGTTGACAACCTCAGGCTGGATCATTTGGTTGGAAATCTCCAAACTTATGAAGCACATAGGAATTTCAAAAAGAAACAAAAAGATGCTATTGCTTTTAGTAGTGCTCATAGAGTTGGAAAGGATTCTGAAGAGGATTGTGAGATAGATTCCAAGATTACGGCTGCTTTTGTTAAACAATTTAAAAAATCTTTTTTGAAAAAGAATCCTAATCTTTTGGAATCTACTTATACTCATAAATCTAAAGGCAAAGATAAACTCAAAATTAATTCTATAGCCAAGAAGGAGAAAGGAAAGATACAAGAGAACTCTGAAAGAGTCCAATGCTATGAATGCCAAAGATATGACCACTTTGCTTCAGAATGCCCCACTCGTTTGAAGAAGAAGAAAGCCCTCGCCATCACTTGGGATGATGAATCAGAATCTGATGAAGATGAAAGTGACAACGAAGATCAAGGCGAAGAGGGACATAAACAATTCCTTGCTTTCATGGCGGCTTCCGAAATTGAAAGACGAACAGAGTATCCGAAGAGTCCGGTTGAGAATGCCACTGATGATGAATCCTCGGGAAGTGATGATGAAGAGCTTGAGCAAGCTTATGAAAAGTTGTATAAGGAATCTCTTAAGTTGTCTAAATTGAATGACAAACTCACTATGAAACTCAAAGCATGTGAAAGTGAGAATGCCAAACTAAAGGACGAGATTTCCGAGGCTAGGATTGATGCCATCAAGATAGCCAATGATCGACAAGCTCTTTGTGCAAAACTCTTGACTTGTGAGACAGAGCAGAATGAGCTACAACAGATCTATGCAACATATGAAGAAAAAAATTGAAACTCTCGAGATGTCTCAAGTTGCTTTGGAAGAACTAATGATCAATAAAGAGGAAGAACTCAAGTGTGCTATGGCTACCATTGGTCTTTGGAACAGAGGATCAAAGACTTTGGACAATATCATTGGGTCTCAACAAATTTGTTCTGACAAGAGTGGCATTGGCTTTGGTGATAACAAAGAGCAAAAATAGAGTGCATCTACATCTCATGATACAAGAACTCAAGGAAAGGGAGAACAAAAAATTCAACATAAGGATGGACTTCTCAAACTTCCTAGAGTTGGTAACGTAAAAGAAAAGAAGGTACACCCTATACACCTTGTTTTTATTTGTCATCATTGTGGTATGCATGGTCATATTCGCCCTTATTGTTATAAGTTGCATGGGAGAGTGTCTCAAAGAGATGGAAGAAATTTCAACATCTCGTGGGGTAAGAGACACTTCATTGGTTGTGATGAGGTTAAGGGTCATAATAAACCTTGCTATTTTGATTTTCTTGAGACCAAATAGGGGGCGAGTTTGCATTTTCCTAGACCTAGGAATAGGAAGTTGGAAACCACGTCGAGACGGGTTCCTATTGCAGGGGAAAAGAACCACAACATCAAGACACCACCCAAGAACCGCCATTCTCACAACTTTGTTCATACTAAAGCGATTTGGGTGAGAAAACTTGACTTGTGTTAATTTGGTTATTCATTTTAGTTTTTGGGTTTGTGTATGTTTTTTTTTAGTCATTTAGTGTGTGCGTGTTCATTCTCTGACTTGCTTTGTTTAGAAAAAAAAAATGTGTGCATGTTCGTTTTATGTTGCTTTGTTTAGAAAAAAAAAATGAAAAAAAAAAATCCAAAAAGATTTTCTTAGTATGGTTTTGCAAGCTTGAAATTTTTGAGTGGTCCTTGGTGCATATTGGAATTGATGAGAATATACATTACATGTTAATATATGTGTACTTTCTGTGGTCATTACTCATTTCGGAGTGTGTGTTCTTTGATTAGTATGTCTCATTCTGTACACACTCTTGGATTAGCAAATATCGGAGTCTTTTGCCTTAGTGTTTTTTTTTTCTATGGACTTCTGGCATTGTATCTTTTGCTTTTCTAGAGGAATTGACCTATACTAGCATATCATGGGTGATGTTGAGTCTCTTAACCACCTTCCATCTTTTTGCATCTCCACGGCTTTCCCCTTTATTCTTTGTAGTCCAGACATGAGGAAAAGGCTACCTCAGAGTCACCAACTAGGCCATCCTTTTATATCCATGCTTCTCTGGTTCGGTTTCCATACTCTTGAGCGTGTCAGCCGCCAATGAGTGTGCAAAAGAAAGAAAAAATGTGCAAAAGAAAAAAAAATGTGCAAAAGAAAGAAAAGAAAAGGATGTGAAAAAAAGAAAAAAATAAAGGATTCATTAATTGAGGGGGAGCCTCCGCTTTTACTCACCAAATACCCCTTGATTCCTAGTGGTTTGACTTTCCATAGTTGTGCTTAGATTCTCTTGTCAGAGGTCCAGTTATCAGATCACTACTAGGATTTGAATCTTGTGTTTGTCGAACTCCAAGAGTCACACACACACTTTTATCATGGGAACTATACTTTTCACATGTGGCATCACTTTCTTTCATGAGGAATCTTCTACAGACTGTGCACACTATGTTTACTAGTAATTGTGCTTCTTGGATAGTCTTGTGTATTTTAAGGTACTAATCTGAAATTCCTTGCTTGCTCCACCATATTATTTTTGTCGTTTGCTTTTTGTTCACTGTTTTCAGTGTTTGTGGTCGCTTTTAGTGAGGGGGAGTTTTCTTTATCATTTTGATCATCATGTCATTGCTTGTGTGGTTTCTGATCTTGGTTTAGTTGATTGAGCTTCCTTTGTCAATTCATGACAAAAAGAGGGAGTGAGGTTGTCCGGTGCATATGTCTTAGGTTTCATCTATTCATGCTACATGTTTTTAAAATCTCCAAGTCGCATTTATTCATGTTTTCTATCTCATGCTTCAAGATAATCTTGTCTTATGTTTATTGTTTTTTTCCTATACTCTTGTGGGACTAATAGTTGTTTTGGAGATTGTGGCGCTAATAACTGTTTTGCAGATCATGACCTTGAGAAAGAAGTTTGCGTTTGTTGGCTGTATTGGGTGAGGTAATTAGGGTTTTATTTGTTAGGTGTGTTTTGTCATGGCATTGCCAAAGGGGGAGATTGCTAGGTTTTTATTCTAGGCAACCCTGTTTGACAAAACTCCTTTCAGTTGTATTTATTTTTGCACTTTTTATTTCAGTGAGGCTATGAGTTTTTAGATGCGAATCCAACCCGAATTGTCCCTTGCAAAGAAGTTTTGTGATGTTAATTTTTTCAAGATTGCCACTTCGCTGATTATAACGGGGATCGAGCTGCCTGGTTAGCTTGCGGGGGTCGAGGGGGCAGCGCCCCTTGGCGGGTCCGAGGCAGCGCCTAGACGGGGTTGAGGGGCAGTGCCCCCGAAGTAAAATGCAAAAATGCATTCAAAGTTGCCTGTCCGCTCGAACGGACATTCCCCCGCTCGAGCGGAGAATGCTGAGTTCCAGAAGTTTATTCGCCTGCAAAAATACTGGATGTTGTTTTTTCCCACTCGAGCAGAACTTTCCGCGCTCGAGTGTAGGTTCGCTCGAGCGGCCAATCCGACGCTCGAGCGGAGATCGCGGGACAACTTTCTATAAATATGTGTTTCAGTCCAAATCTAGGATTACTTCTCCAGATCTTTTTCTTGGGTTCTAAGATTTATATCTGGGAATATTTTGCTAGTCTTCTTTGATGTTTTGATTGAGTATTCAACTCATGGTTTAAAGAGTACACATCAAAGGATTATTTGTTTGTTCTACACAAAAGAGAGAGTTGTTCTTCGATGGATTATGAAGAATTTGAGCCTGAAGCTTTGGTGGATTCTAGAGTGGCTCATTGTCAAGACAATTCCGAGGTGAAGACGGGGTTGGAAGAGACACATAGAGGTTGGTTCAATTCGGACATGGATTCGCTAGGTAATTGAGAGTATACCTGTGTAATTCATTTATATCTTCTTAGTGGATTGTTTTGTGGCTGTTGCCTGTGGTTTTTTTTATCACAATTGGAAGTGTCCAATTGTGGTTTTTCCACGTAAAATCGTTGTGTCGAGTTGTCTTGATTGTTTGATTGGGATTGTTGTTTACTGCTTAAAATTGATACATAATCACAAATTAACATCTAGGAGATTTCTAGATTTTTCATATCGGAAGGTGGTACAGTACTAGTAGAAGCTGGTACAGTACTAGTAGAAACTAGTACAGTGCTCGTACATGGCACATTATGCAGACTACCCGATTGAAGTGTTCTCACTCGATCCTTGATATCAACCAAAGTTGAATTACTTTATATTTACCATCATCATTGGTAGCAAGTTCTAGGATCTCATCCAACGTCTTGTGATAGTTATCATGCAACTTTAGATTTAGAGCAGCCCCAAATGTAGTATATGTGGTTGGAATGCATGTGTACCCTTTTTCCACGTCTTTTCTTCATCTCGGAATAATGTATTTATTTGGAACCTCATATATGGACCTCTCAATGAGCACAAAAAGTGAATGGTCATACATAATACCTCTAAACTCAAACAACCGACACATACATTGGAGGTCACATTCAGTTGAATTACAGTGCATAACAAATTCCACTTCTTCATCCCCTCACCTAGAAGAACAACCTCCCTCACATGATAGGTACAAATTGCTCTCTCCTCATTGATAAGATCCGCACGGCAGTACACTAAATGCTTCAATTCTGCTTGAACTTCTTTAAATTTTGAATTAGTGTAAGTTGCACGAAATTGCTTCTCAAAATGATTCACCGTTAAGAAAACATACAATTTGTTACGAGACTTAAAATGTGCTTTTGTCTCCTTCTCTACCATACTTCTCAAGGCATTGTCATACTGCTCAACAAATTGCTTTAAGCTTGTCTTGGAGTTCACATATCCATCAAAAAATGCATTCATGCTCTCACTTCGTTGTGTAGTTCACATGCTACCCCAAAATATGTCTTTAACATAGGCAGGAATCCACTTATGTCGCTCACGGTAAAATACCCCCAACCACTCATTATCATTCAGATTGAATTTTGCAATCATTGCTTTCCAGTATTCATCAAATTCATCTTTTGTGAATGAATCATAAACTGCATTACTCAAAGCAGCCTTGATGGATTCATATTGCGAATATCTTCTCAATTTCTCTGAAATTTTCTACATTATGTGCCATAAACACCAACGATGTCGAGCATGTGGGAAGACAATTTCTATGGCATTTTGCATAGCTCTGTACTGGTCAATTATTATAGCTTTTGGGGGAGCATTTGATATGCAACATAACCATTCTTTGAATAGCCAAACAAATGTCTCAATGTTTTCATTACATAACAACCCACAACCAAACAAAATTGACTGTCCATGGTGATTAACTGTTACAAATGGAGCAAACGACATATCATATTTGTTTGTCAAATAGGTTTTGTCAAAGAAGACAACATCCCCAAATGCTTTATAAGCCGCCCTAGTCCTTGCATCCGCCCAAAACAAGTTTCGTATAAGGCCATCTTCATCAAGGTCAATTGCCGAATAGAAGTTCGAATTTTGTTGTTGCATTTTATGAAAATAAAGTGTAACTAATTCCGCGTCTCCTACTCCAAGTTTCAATCTTCTAGCATTCTGAATAAAATTTCTTGTATCTCGTTCATCAAACGTTAATGCCTCATATCCTCCTGCTTCAACAACTATGGAATGAAAATTCCTAGTCACCCCAATCCCTCCTGCATTGTTAACTTCTAGTCTCCTCTTCACCCGAGTAAGAATCCTCTTATTCATTGCAAAATGTCTTAAGTCAGTAGGAATCAAATCATCGGTGTGCTTAAGCACAACTGTGGTTAACTTATATCTTCCATCCTTTTGTAGACTGGCTCTTACCCTTGCTTTACAATCAATTTTTGATGACAAAGATGGTTCCAGGGGATTTACTTCTGATCTTTTTGTTCTATTCTGTGCCCGAGTACATTCAATTCCAAAGTAATTCACTTCCCCATCTGTTGTTACATTTTGTGTTCTATAAGCTATAGCAAATCGAAGTTGTTTTGCATATTTTGCATAAAATGCGTACACTTCTTGCTTTGAGGTAAAATACATCCCCTTCTTGGGTTCTTCAACTTCACCACTCTCACTAAATTGAAGATTGTTATCATGTTCTTCAACTTCCTCACTCACATTGAATGAATTATTGTTTGACTCAATATCCATTGTAGCTTCAAAGTGAAATAAAATAGACATTTAGAGAGAAACTCAATTTAAGTTTAACAGTACAAATACAAATTCTGAAAACCAACAATAACAACACAAAGAAACTCAATTCACATACGTTTCTAAGCACACATGATCAAATAGCCAGAGGCATAATTCCTTAGAGGCAGAATTCCCTCCCTCTCCATACCTCCAATGTCTAAAAACTTGTTCATAAAAATTGCCCATATTGTTCCTTACAATACTCAATACTTGTTCATAAACAGTAAATCAAAACATAAACATAAACAGTGATCAATTCAAAAGGTAAACAATTTTAAACAAAGACGCTTGAAATGCAGGAAGCAAAAAAAGAGACATAACAAAACCAAGTAGTCAATATTCAAGAGATAAGGAAGAGGTGAAGCAATAGAGGTGTGTTCGTCTTTCACAACCAGTTAGGAGGTTGAATTTTTTTTTTTTTTTAGGAAGTTGATTTTTTTTTTTTTCCCTTAGATGGTTGAATTACACTTAATGCTTTAGCTAGGCAAATCATCAAACACTTGATGATCAATTCAACCAATCAAGTAACTGACCAAGTCACAAATTAGATCTCTATAAACACTTGGTCAATATTATCAGCTCTCATCGACAAATATCCTAATGTAGCATGCTCAAATTTCAAGCACGTTTGGATACATCAAGCTTAAATAGTTTACTTATATTTAACAAGAACAAGCCTAGATTGATTGTCATAGACTGAGAAAAATTAACCAAAACTTAGAAAAGTTGGGAATAAATCTATAAAAAAAAATATGAAGGTATATGTAAGCCCAAGTCTGCAGATATAAAATGCACATCATTACCACCTATTTAAATGCATGCATTTGTGCAAGCACATTCGCACACTCATTAACTGGGAGAGAGGGGGGGGGGGAATTTCTGTTTACCATCAGAAAGCATCACCAGCCTCGTCGGCAGTAGCACCAGGTCGTTAGCACACACAGATTTTGCACAGTAAATCGACAATATGGGTCTCTCATCTCTCTCTCTACTATGTTTTTTTTTTCTTTTTTCTTTTTTCTTTTTTATACTTGAAATGAAATGTATGGGTTAAAACTGAGATGAATAAATGGGGGTGTACAAGGATATGTGGGTGCATATAGAAGTCGGGCCATTTTTGAGCCACAGGATTCAAGCTACGAATCTTTTCTGATCTCTTTCTCCTTCCAAATTGTATATTTTGGAGGGACCATCGAAACACTTAAACCTTTGCAAATAATAACTTCTTCACCATTTGTAGATCACTATAGCAATATGAAAAAAACATAGATCCTTTAGCAAACAACTTCCGAAAAAAAATGTGTTTTTAAGAAATTCAACCATGAATAGAAGAAATCCAATGACAAACAAAAGCAACCCAAAAGAAACAAATCCTAATTTCACATCAATAACTGTTAATCAAATAGACTCACTCAAAATTAAGCATCATCCTCAATCTATTACAGTTGATTAGATGAAATTAATTGAGTGAAGACTCAGTTGATTGAGTGAGAGAGAGAGAGAGGGAGAGCAGTAAAAAGAGGAAAACACAGTTCAAATGGAGAGTAGAAAAAAATCCAACACTGCCATAATCACTGTTGCCCTGTGAAAAATTTTGATGGATGATTTTGCACTTTTCAATGCGAGAGTAACTTGGAACTTGGAAAATAGAGAATGTCTTATATAGAAGATGAATCATCTCTTAATGAATAGATGTGTCTATTCAATTTAATTTTATACCAATTTATAGGAATACGACCATTTGATTTTAATAGAAAATACTAATTCATAACTTTTAAAATTAAGGTTAAGTTTATCTACTATCAAAAAAAAAAAAAAGGTTTATTTTAAATTTAAATTTGAATTTGAGAGTATTTGCATTCATGGGACCTACTAAAAGATCCGTTTCGATAATCCGAAACATTTATTTTATAGTATACTTTTTTCAGAGAAAAATAATTTGGTCGATTTAATGATTGTAACCTTTTCATTTTATTTGTCTTAAAAAAAATGAATAGACTCAAAATATGTTTGTCGTCTTTTTTTTTTTTTGAAGACAAATACTATAAAAAAAAATGTTATCATTATCAAATCAATTTAATTTTTTCCATGAATAATATACATTGTTTTCATTTTATTGTGTGTCTTAAGAAAAATGAATAGTCTCAAAATATGTTTGTCATCTTTTTTTTGTAGACAAAGGCAATAAATAAAAATATTCAGCTTGCTTGTTTTCTCTTTTCAAAAAACACTTTTCAGAAAATTTTACTCTCTTATTTTCTGTGTTTTTTTGTTTTTACTGATTATAGGAATATGACTATTTGATTTTAATAGAAAATATTAATTCGTAACTTTTAAAATTAAGGTTAAGTTTATCTACTATCAAAAAAAAAAAAAAATTTATTTTAAATTTAAATTTGAATTTGAGAGTATTTGCATTCATGGGACCTACTAAAAGGTTCGTTTCAATAATCCGAAACATTTATTTTATAGTATACTTTTTTCAGAGAAAAATAATTTGGTCGATTTAATGATCGTAACCTTTTCATTTTATTTGTCTTAAAAAAAATGAATAGACTCAAAATATGTTTGTCGTCTTTTTTTTTTGAAGACAAATACTATAAAAAAAAATGTTATCATTATCAAATCAATTTAATTTTTTCCATAAATAATATACATTGTTTTCATTTTATTGTGTGTCTTAAGAAAAATGAATAGTCTCAAAATATGTTTGTCATCTTTTTTTTGGAGACAAAGGCAATAAATAAGAATATTATGATTATCTAATCAACCTAATATTTTTTATAAATGATACACTAAGAGTCCTACAAAACGAAAGATTCAAATCATTAAATCAAAACCTATGGTGGGCCTCATGGGTCCATTAAATCCTCTCAAGTTTAAACTTGAGAGAAACTCAACTCTAAAATTATGTATTATTATATGGAAAACGCTAGAGACCTAAAAATTTAAATTTACAAATCCATTTACAATAATGTTACACGAGAGTTAAATCTTAAATGATTGAGTATATAACAAATCAAAATTTGACAACTATTATCTCATATCATTGTGGGTTAAATTTTTTTTTTTAAATCAAATATTTTTCTCATTATATATATAATGAGAAAAATTGTAAATTTTTCAATGTGTAACGGTTGTAAATTTTCAAAAAATTTTATTTGTAAATATGTTAATCCTTTATGTGTAAGGATTGTTGTTAAACATTGTGGATGTGTTTGCTTTGGTTTGGTTTGGTTTTGGGAGATAAATTTTTAAAAAAAAAATTGGAAAAAGAGTTTAGAATTTTTTTTTTGATTTGTTTGGTTGTATATTTTAGAAATAGTTTTGGAGTATGGGAGGTTATGATGATTTGATATTTTATTGTAGTTGAATAGATGTGTGTGAGAGAAAAAGTGATTGAGAAAGAGAGAGGAGAGAGAAAAATTGATTAATTGATGTGTAGGAGAGAGAAAATGATTTTGAAAAAAAATTTAAAAAATTTCCAGCCAAACAAAGTTTTGGAATTTTTTTTCAAAAATTATGATTTAAGAGTTAAACCAAATAAGGTCTGTGTCTTTTCAGGGCAATCTGACCAACATATTTTGGGAAGGTTATTTTGGAAAAAAATAAATAAATGAAATAAAAAACAAATAATGAGGATGATCTCTGATTTTAAAGTAGAGTATATAATTATATTATGATATTTGAATTTGTTTGATGTTTGAAAATATTTGAATTTTGAAAAGTGTTTGTGATATTTAATAATTTTGAGAGGTATTTTCGGAATACGAAAATTAAAATCTAAAAAATATATGTATTTTTTAGATTTTTAAAATAATAATAGATGGATAGGTAGGTAGGAGAAATTGCTGCGAACCTAATGAACGTGCCATGCTTTAAATAAACTTTATAATTATTTTTTAAAATTTAATTGGTTTGGGTGCATGTGGGGGGCGAAGCCACAGTGCAACTTCACGGGGTCCTGTCCAAAATGGCAAAGTAGCTGGCAATCTTTGCCCATTATTATTTTTATTTAATTATTTATTATTAAAAAACGTATCATTGGCTAGTGATTCCAGTCATTATTTATTATTAAAAAAATTAGCATTAGTTATTTATTATTAAAAAAATTAGCATTAGTTAGTGATTCCAGTTAATCTTAAAATTAAAAGTAATAAATATGTCATATCATTATCACAATGAGTAAAATTATTATACACCACGTGCAAAATAGTTACATTTCATATTATATATACCAGCAGTTACGTGTAAAATACATAAAATTTTAAAAATTGACAAAACAAAATCTACATAATAAGGGAGAAGTGTTTTTGAATATGTATAAAATGTATGAGAGACACATTTCCTTTGAATGGCTCAGATCAATTCTAATATCTATCCATGGCTCAGATCAATTCTTTAGTTAATGATGTTCCCACCCAACATAGCTGTTTCTCCACTCTTCTCCCTCAGTATCTAACCTCTGTCTCCCTATCACAAATGATTTGCCTCCCCATCTACCCTCTGTCTACCCACCTTCCCTCTCTATTTCTCTGCCTCCCTCTCTATCTCTCTCTTCCTCTCTGTTCTTCTTCTTGATTATTTTTGAAAATCTCAGCTTTTGCCTTCATCAGAGTTTACACCGCTGTTCAAATCAGAGCCTTCATCAGAGTCTTCATCAGAGCTTACACAGAGCCTTCATCAGAGCTTACACCGTTCTTACTCTGACCACTCTCACCGTTGTTCACTCCGGCTCGACATCACTTCGGCTGCTGGGTTAGTTTATCACTTTGGCACTGGGTTAGTTTTTTTTTGCTGGCTTAGAAGAAGAATAAAATTGACTCAAGTTGACTGATTTCTTGTTTTTTACACCGTGCCTTGAGTAAAAATTAAAGAGTAGTCATCAATCTAAGAATAAAAATTAAAGAGTAGTCATCAATCTGTTTTTTATTAGTCATCAATCTGTTTTGGGTTGA